TGGCTCACCCCCACCCCCCCTTTAATCATCGCCAATCTATATTCCTCACAATGAACTGTAAACATCAACGTATTTCAGTGAGTTTATTCCAACATGAAGCGCAATTTTCTCCCCTAAAAAAAATCGTAAACAAATGCAATCGATTCGCGTGGGAGTGGAAGGAGGAGAGACGCATGACGCAGGTACCAGGAATGATAATATCAGAGATAAGATGGAATTAAAGCGAATCCACTTAACAAACATTTACGATTACAAAGTCGGCGAGAACTAAGAAGGCAGTGTCGGACGGGAAGGGGGGGTGTAAGTGGAAGGGAAGTGAAGGGAGCAGACGGAAAAGAAGGGAAGAATGACATAGGAGTGAGGGGGCGTAGTTATGAAAGGGGCTTTGAAAAGGACGCCTGTAACGGGATCAACTCCGCTAAAACAGGTTCTGGGATAAGACACCTCAGACCTGGGAGGCCTTGGCGTGTGGCGCCGCCGTGGTTCAGAACCAGCAGAACACTGGGTTTGTCTATATAACCTCACACGCAAACTTCCTTGTTTCTCTCTCTCCTGCTCCCTCCCCTCCTCCTCCCCCTCCCACGCCCCCTCTCCCTCTCCCTCTCTCTCCCTCTTCTCCCTCCCTCTCTCCCTCCCTCCCTCTATCCCCTCTCCCTCAGAAACAAAACTACCACCCCAACTAGATAAAACAAAACCCCGACGGACAGAAGAGAAACGGCCATCCCGACACTCACCAGCTGTTGCACCACCTGCTCGACGAGTTCCCTGAAGGAGTAGGAGGGGTGCAGGTGGTGAAGGTGCTCGGTCAGCTTGGCGATCACCTCAGTGTCTGTCTCGGACTCGAACTTATGGCCCTTCTGGATGAGGAACTGCTTCACGTCCTTGTAGTTGGTAATAATTCCTGTGGGAGGGAAGAGGGAATAAATGAGATGAAAGGAGAGAAAGAAAATGGAGAAGGGGAGAGAAAGATATGGGAGAGGAGGTCAGCAAGGGATGGAGCAACTGAACGGAAGGATTGAGGAGAGAGAGCAATTGATCATGAGAGAAAATGGGGGATTTAATGAGATGGAGGTGACCACAAACTTCAAACAGTTCTGCCGTGTGGCGCAATGAAGATGAGATGATGATTTTTTTTTTGGGGGGGGAGCTTGTGAAATGGCTCGTTTATACAAATGTCTCAATAAAGATACAGATGTTTCGGATACACCTGTACAATTCAGCAACACCTAAGCATATATTGCCGATGTCTCTCTCTCTATGTCTGTGTTTCTCTGCGTCTGTCTCTGTCTCTCACTACCACACACACACACACACACACACACACACACACACACACACACACACATGCACACGCACACGCACACGCACACGCACACGCACACGCACACGCACACGCACACACACACACACACACACACACACAAACACCCACTCCTCACCGTTATGCACGACCACGAAGGCGTTCCCCTCGCCGGAGCGCTGCGGGTGGGAGTTCACGTCGGAGGGGACACCGTGCGTGGCCCAGCGGGTGTGGGCGATGCCGATGTGGACCTCATGTTCCTTGTCGAAGGCGAGCTTCTCCTTCTGGGCCTCGATCTTGTCACGGAGGCACTTGACCTTGCCCGTCTGCTTGATGAGGCACACGCCGCCGTCCACGGAGTCGATGCCAATACCTGAGGGAAAGAGAAAGGGAGGTTAGGTTTTAGGGTCGGAGAGAGAGAGAGAGGGGAAAGAGAGAGAGAGAGAGGAAAGAGAGAGAGAGAGAGCGGAAAGAGAGAGAGAGAGAGAGAGGGGAAACAGGGAGAGAGAGTGAGAGAGAGAGAGAGAGAGAGAGAGAGAGAGAGAGAGAGAGAGAGAGAGAGAGAGAGAGAGAGAGAGAGAGAGAGAGAGAGAGAGAGAGAGTGAGAGAGGAGAGAGAGATGCAAGCATCAACGACGTTGCGTCATCTCAGACTGCAGTGACAGGTTATCGTTTTGCAACGATACCGGTTTCTGAATACAATACAAATTGCAGAATTGCGAATAGAGAGAGAGAGAGAGAGAGAGAGAGAGAGAGAGAGAGAGAGAGAGAGAGAGAGAGAGAGAGAGAGAGAGAGAGAGAGAGAGAGAGAGAGAGAAAATAAAGAAGAAAAAAGACAACGAGACATAAACATCACCACACAACCACAGTAAATCAATCCTACAATGACTATCAGTGTCATTAGGGCCTGTCAACGGTCTGTCATATCCTATCAGCCTCCTCCCCTCCCCCCGCTCACCCTTTATACATATCTAAGCTACAGTCAGGTGCGCGTTTCTCCAATCTAGGCAAAGAGATAAGGAGAGATAACATGAGATAAATGGCGTCTCCTTTCTTGTGGCTAGTCTTGTCTCTTCCTATCCTTATTTATCCACTATCGCTTATCTTTACCCTACATTCATCAATTATCCTCTCCCATTCAAAATAAGATTTGCCTGAGATATCCTTCTCTTGCATCTAAAAAGAACCAATTTCTGAAATGATAAACAATCTTCAAACATTCTGCATCCCTAAATACCTCGTCCCCTAAAATGACCCTTCCTCCATTCCCCCCCCCCACCCCTTTCCCACAGCCTCCCCCTCCTCCTACCCACAGTCTCCCCCTCCTCCTTCACACAGCCTCCCCCTCCTCCTTCCCACAGCCTCCTCTCCTCCTTCCCACAGCCTCCCCCTCCTCCTTCCCACAGCCTCCCCTCCTCCTTCCCACAGTCTCCCTTATCCCTCCCTCCCCACAGCTTCCCTCCCCCACTCCTCACAACCCCGCCTGCGACACCCACCTGCGGAGTCGTAGCCGCGGTACTCGAGCCTCTCCAGTCCTCGCACCAGAAGCTCGATGATCTCCTCGCGGCGCTTGGGGGTCAGGTAGTTCAGGTAGGCGAAGATTCCTGCGGAGGGACACAAAGGGATCGGAATTAGTATCACGCGTCATAACAATGACAAGAGTATGGCAGCAGAGTTCGTGGGTTTTATATTTGTATGATGGGGTATCATAAGACCATGTAGAGACGTTTAAGGATCTATTTTGCGTCTTTATTACAAATCATAACAATAAGATAATGTCATGATGTTTGATCTTGCAGGTAAGGTCACATTTTCCTGACTGTGCAAATGCGTGTGCCCAAACGAGCACGCACAAGCACGGACGCCCACGCAACTCCTGTTCCCTTGACAACCAAGAGGAATCCCCCTTCCCCCCCTCCTCCCCGTCCCAATCCCTCCCCTCCTCATCTCTCAACAGAACTTTCACTTTCTCAACTTTCATCCAAGAGGAGGAGGAGTCGCTCGCGCTGACTTAAACGAGGTTCCCTTGGTTACAGACAGGTCGTCGCGTCTCGAAAGAAGGGAGGGACCGTGGGGGTGGGGTGGGGGGGGTATGGCCTCGGACCTGCTGTTGTTTGGGTTAATGGGAACTAGCGAGATTGGCGGGGTGGTAGGTCCGACCGACCTTAGGGTCTATAAGTGTACGTTTATTTATATTTATATGTTTACTAAACTTCAGCAAACGGCTTGAAGATAGAGAGAAATGCATATAACCAGAGAGAAGCAATTCACGTGACCTAAACTGGGATCAACGGACGACCTCTCGACGCCCTCTCAAGCAGTCCCGTGACCTCGTGTGTGTGTAGAGGGGGGGGGGGGGCAAGAGGAAAGGGAGAAGGATTTGGAGTAGGTTAACGATAGGAAGAGGAAGGGGAAGATGAAAACGAATAGGCAGAGGCACGGAGGAAGAAGAGGTAGAAACGTAGTAAAATGATGACGAAGAAAAGGCGAAAATATACAAAAAAAGGATGAGGACAAATCAAAACGAAACAGAAAGTAATAGCCTACAGAAGAAGAAAAGAAAACGATGAAGGGATAGGAGGAGATGAAGGGAAAAAAATGAGAGTGAGGAGAAGGAAGTTGCAGGATTAGGTAAAGGGTATGACCTCCTCCCCCACCCCCTCCTCATTCCCCAGTATCAAGTTCAAAATGTCACTTGTTTGTTCCCATTAATATTCGAACCATCTTTGTTTTTTTTTGTTTTGTTTTTTGGCCTGTCTCTAGGAAAGTCCAACCGGATCCATATCTCTCCGCTAGGATATTAATAAAATCATGTGCAATGGAAGAAGATAAGATAAAAGAGATACGGCACATGAAGTAGACTACGAGGTAAATAGGCAATAAAAAAGTTTCGTTTTTATTACGAGTTAGCAGGAACAGTTATATGCACGTAAGATGTTTGTATCTGAAGATATTTCTCAGTACTTCAATTCTTGACTTTTCATGCGAATACTTGTTTGCGGTTTATCCTAGCTATCTGGCTTCGGGATGAGGAACGGATAGGAAGAGGGAAGGTGAGTGACGAAGGGGGGAGGAAGAGAGAGAGAGAGAGAGAGAGAGAGAGAGAGAGAGAGAGAGAGAGAGAGAGAGAGAGAGAGAGAGAGAGAGAGAGAGAGAGAGAGAGAGATGGGAAAGGAGGGAGGGAGGAAGAGGGAATTAGGGAGGGAGGGAGGGAGGGAGGGAGGGAGGGAGAGAGAGAGAGAGAGAGAGAGAGAGAGAGAGAGAGAGAGAGAGAGAGAGAGAGAGAGAGAGAGAGAGAGAGGAAAACAACAACAAAAGAGTCCAAGACACCAAGCGGGAAGCGGACCCGCAAGAGGCCTCAGAAGGCAGCTCTCGCGACGGACTTTCTCCCGCGCCGCCGAGGACCGCCGCAGGGAGCTCCAAAAATACCCGGGTAAGGTAATGGCAAAATTACTCGAGTAAGGTAAAGCTGCAAAACTACCCGAGTTAAGTAACGGCAAAACTGCCCGACAATGGCAATGGCAAAACTACTCGAATAAAGTAAAACCACAAAAGTACCCGAGTAAAGTAACGGGCAAAACTACCCGTTGAAAGTAAAGGTAAAACTATTCGAGTAAGGTAAAAAACACAAAGCTATCCGATTAAGGATACTTGGTCCTACACCTTGCCGACGCCATGACAACACGCGCTGTGAAGAAACCCGCTCGTTCGGCTCAAGAAAACCTGTTCGGATCAACAGCCACATTGCAACCGTGCAACAGTGATCAAGCGGCGGATTATCTCTCTTTTCGAAACTGGCGCCAAACCACGCTGGTCCGAGACTAACTTTCCAGAAGGTTCTTGTATCGCCAGGAGAAAAAGCAACAAAAGTGAGGAGAGATTCTGATCTATATATCATATACTGCTCCGATAATGACGGAGCCAATCAAAATTTTTAAGCTGGTTAACGATAACTACCTGAAGATGTAAAAAAAAATAAGGATCAAGATATAACAATATCAACTGTTATTTTCAAAGGGAGATTTAATATTGCAATATCAGTAACAGTAACTATGCTACAACGACAAATCTAATCACAAGCCCAGGACTTCGGAGAAATATGAAAAAAATGCTGATAAGAGACGTTCACACATGACGAAATACTGGAGACAGAGGGGGAGGGGAAGGGAGAGAAGAGGGGGCGATAAAGAGGCATGGTGCGAGGATGGAAGGGAGGAAGGAAGGGATGGACGGAGGGAAGGAGGGAGAGAGGGAAGGGAGAAAGATAGACGAAAATCAAGGTAGAAACAGAGAGAAAGAGAGATCCAAATCTTTCGCTAAATAAACGCACGCGCACGTACTCTTACAACTGATGGAACTGTAACGTATCGAGTGCTTGCTTGATGCCTGCGCCTCGGCTGTTAGTCGGCCTCGTTCCCATATGTGTCAGGGTCGAGTGATATCGGCACACGTGGCACATCGCGGAAAACTGATATCTATATACGTCATCTTGAACCAATTTGAGCTTGAGACAGGTTATGAAGCTTCAATAGAGAGATTTTACTTAAATTAGTTATGAAGCTTCAGTAAAGAGGTTTTAATTAAATTAGTTGTGTAGCAGTTTTGTTGGCTCTTATGATCGTTTTGTTGGGAAGGAAGCGGATAATTGATTGATTACATGCGGCGTGCAGGTGTCAGTACACCTGCATTGGTGCGTCATCAGTGTGTGGTTGGCAAACGACCTATTTTTTTATTAACTTCACAAGCTTTAATTGGTTAGTATCCTTAATTTCATCTTAACGAGCCGTATCTACCACAGTATTTATCGTCGGCAAAAGAAAGAAAAGAAAAGAAAAAAATTGAGGAACTGAATTGCTACATGTTTTAGATATAATGAAAACGAGTCAAACATGCGTGTACTGTGGATGCGGGGAAACAACGATCCCAAACAAATAAATACAATGTCACTCTTCCTCATGGCCTACGCGAAAACATAAACAAAGACCACCTCACTTCCCCCCCTGCCTCCCCCCCTCCTCCTTCTTTCCTAAATAGCCGCCAGGAGAAGAAAGCGAAAGTTCCAGAACTGGGGGCGGTTTCGACGAGACGAGGAGAGCCGGATTCTTCGGTTTGGGAAATCCTGATCCTTTAAACCGGCCCTTCCCCCCCTACCCCCCCCATTCCCCTACTCACCCTCTCCTCTCCTATTCCGCCTACCTCTTATCCCCTTCCCTTCTCCTCTCCCTCCCCTCCCCTCCCCTCCCCTCCCCTCCCCCTCCCCCTCCCCTCCCCTCCTTCCCCCTCCCCCTCTCCCTTTCCTACTCCTTTCCCTTCCCCCTCTCTGTCTCCCCCGCCCCTTCACCTTTAACCCTTCCTTACACTATCACTCTCGATTTTATTTTCTCTGGATATATCATAACTTTCTGGTTCTCTCTTTCTCTCCCACCTGTCTCTTTCTGTTTTTCTTGTTATCTCTCTCTCTCTCTCTCTCTCTCTCTCTCTCTCTCTCTCTCTCTCTCTCTCTATCTTTTGATGTATCCTTTCCCTTTTCATTCTCCTTTTCCTTCTTCGCCTCCTTCTTGTTCCTTTTCACATAACAGAACAATAAAAATAAATTCTCACTACACCCGCATTCCCTTTCTAAATCGGGAGACCACCAGATGTATGAGTGAGTAAAATTAGTAAGTGTGAGAGTGAGTGAGAGCACCCGCGAGTGAGTAAATGAGTGTGGGAGCTTCATATGTTAAAACAGCATATGTATGAGAGAGCAAGAAAGTGAACTGAGTGAGGAAATGAGAGAGAGTGAGACAGAGTGAGTGAGTGAGTGAGTAAATGAGTAAGAAGATGACTGACTCGCCGCCTGACTCGTCCACCGTCTCGCTTTGTTCGTCCATCAATTGACCTTGAAGAGGAGAGGAGCTGGACGTGGTGGAAGGGGAATAGGGTGGAGGGTGGAGGGTGGAAGGGGTATGGGTGGAGGGTGGGGAGAAGAGGGAGGAGGGAGGAGGGAGGAGGGAGAAGAGGGAGGAAGATAGAGGGTGGAACGTGGAGAGTGGAGGGTGGAGGGAGGAGGACAGAGGGTGGAACGTGGAGAGTGGAGGGTGGAGGGTGTGGTAGGCGTGTAAAGTGTTTGGAAGTGAAGGGGAAGGGGAGGTGTGAAGTAATCAAAGTAGAGCAGAAGGTACTTGGAAAAAATGGGAGAAAAGTTGCGAGAGACAGATGAATAATAATAAGTAGTTATTCTTCCTCTAATTCAAAAGATAAAAAAAAAAAATGTAAACCACAAACTAAAACCAAAATCTCCTTCCTTCCAACGCCCGTTCGAAGGGGAAAAATGTTAAGGACGAAAATAAAAATAAATAAATAAAATAAAAACAAAATGACATTTAAGGTGTAAAGTCACATTCTTAGATAACACAAATACCCAACTTCCCTTCGCTCCTGTCCCCCACCCTCCCCCGCCCCTTCCCCACCCCCTCCTCCCCTGCCCCTTCCTTTCCCCCCCTCCCCTGCCCCTTCCCCTACCCCCCTCCTTGCCCTTCTTTTGTATACCTCGGGTTCTCTGATCTTTGACCTTCTTACGTAATTTACTTTCGATGCGTCTTGCTTCGCTGCTTATACCATG